TACATAGATTGAAATCAGTATATAATCAACGCCGAAAAAGGTAACGATTCTTCCATTAGGTAAAAGAAAACCAAACGGATAGTTCTATAAACTTGGCTAGGTCCCTGATATTACAGGATAACAGCGCGGTCAAGTCGGTGAGAAAAAGGGCCCCGAAGATTTTTGATCTTCTCCTTCTTCTCCTAAAGTAGCACAAGTAACTGGAAAAATTATGTGAAACTAACGGAGTGTTAACTCAAAGAAAATGAAACAAGATACAAATATGTTTAAGGTTATTGAAATTTAGAGGTGAGTTGCGAATGAAAAATTATTATTAAAAGAAGAATTTTCTAAAAACTCTTTTTTGAATTTACAAATTTCATTTAACAAATAATTGTATTTTAATGTAAATTTCAATTGAAATTCAACATTTTGTAAAATTCGCATTTAAATTTTGAAGTAAAATTATTTATCTGTTTTTTACAGAGAAATTTCCTAAATATATAATTTTTGTTCTGTGATAAGAAGAATTCAGTATGAAAAATTCGTAGAAATAATTTTTTTTCCATTTCTCTATTACTTCAGATAAATGGAAATATTTCTTTACTCTGGTCTGATAAATCAAATGTCAATTATTAGTGTACAGTACTTATTATTGAAAATTGAGTTCAATCATTGTCCTTAACTGGAATGACATTAATAGTATAATTGCTGGTCATTTTTTTTGTTATTCGAGCTTTTGAAAACAAATTCAATTATTTTTAATTTTATAATTTATAAATTTTATTCTATAGAAATGTGTACTTTTAAATGAAAATGTAAATTGACGTTATTCGAACGGATTTGGCATAAAAATAAATTTAAAAATTTAATAAAAGTATTAAAATTAAAATTAAATAATTTTAACTCTGTAAAAGACAAAAAATGTATAACTAACTAGCCAAGAAAGAAAGTTTTATAACTTTTCACGTGTATATATTTTTTTAAATTAAAGTACATAAGCTTTAATGTACGTTTAGTGTAAGAAAATAATCGGAAAGACTTCCAAAAAATATTTTTAATGCAAAATTCAAGATATTCAGACTACGGGTAGATGAAATATAAGATCCTCTGTTTTTAGCAGATTGAATTATATGTAGACAGGTTTTAAAGACGTTCTATTCCAATTAATTAATAAAATATTTTTTACTTAATTTCTTAATTTAAATTCTTATTACAGCACAGCTAACCTATTTTGTAAAAATCTGTCTTGAAATCATGGGTACATACATCTTTCCCAACTCATTATATGACATGTTTTCAGGCTTTTGTTTATATTTCCATATGGTATTCTGTCAATTAAGTGAAGCTAGAGAGACATGCATTATTAAACTCAGTAAAAATATATAACATATGAAGTAAAAACACATTTTTTATGCAGAATTGTTTATATCAGCTAATTGCAAGGTGTCTTTTTGTCTGGTAACCTGTTTTATGTTCAATCGTATATATTTACATATTTTGATATTAATTGATTCGTATGTGTTAAAGTTGTAATTATAAATGTAAAGAGAAAAAAGGTATATAACTTTATATTGCTTTAATTGGGCATGCTTTGACTGTGATGTTGGAATTATCAAGTGTTGTGAAACAATTGTTTTTTTCAATATTGGAATATGTGAAAATATTAGGTTTCGAATCTCATATTTATTCTGTGAATATATTTACATATATACATATATATTAATTATATTTTAATTGGACCACAGTTGTAATCAGTCAAATATTGTGTTCTTAGAATTAACAAGTCTTACATATATTCGAGGCAGTAGTGTTATTGTTTTGCGTACAAATTAGAGACTTTAGCAAGAGACTTGTTTTTTGCAACTGATAAAATATTGCAAATTTTTTGATAACTGATAAAATCAAAAAAATGTTTACTATTATCGTTAAGAAAATAATGTGCTGTGTTCATTATGATAATAAAACTTAAAGAAAAACATTCCAAAATTTTTAGAATTACCTATAGCGAACTTTGCACTGTCTTCTGGACCTAAAAAATATTCCCATTTTTGTGGCATGTCATCACATTATATATTTATTTGTTTAATATAGTAAATAAAATGTGAGCATGGCTTTATGTATATATGTATATATACATAACATATACATATATATGTGAATGTTCATTTTTTAGCATAACAAAAAGATTTATAAAACTCTCTTGTCTCGGGCTTTTTTCATGCTTAGATTGCCATTGCAGTAAAATGAAAAGGTATAATAAATTCTTTACCAACTTCTTCACTATCGGATAAACTTCCCTGATTTTCTAAAACTGCTATATAAAAACTAATACAATAGAAAAACTTGAAAAAATAATAAACGTTAATGTAGAAATAAATTAAGTGAACTAACTCAATTTTAATCTTATTTAGTATTATTTATATTTAATTTTTTATTTAAATTTTCGCATATACATATTTGCACACAGTTTTAAATTTTTTTCAAATGAGCAATAAATTTTCATATAAGCAAATACTTCATATTAATTTGTGGGCGTGAATAAACTTTTGAAGAAGAGAATTATTTAGATATTAATAATAAATCAGAAATAGAAAATATATAAAATATTTTTAATAAAAGCAAGTAAAATTTTAACAAGAAAATAATAACCTTTAGAATCAAAAATTGAAAAAAATATTTGATAATAATAAATAAATCAATACTATATTAAGCAATAATAAACAAATTAGAAATTAAAAAAAAATATTTAATAATAATATAAAAAATTATAATAAACAAAAATTTTTTAAATTATGTTTTTAATTAATATTTCAGAATTATTATCAAAATTTATATCCTTAATGAAAAGCTTTGGAAAATAAGTAGAAACTCAAATAAACTGAAGAGGACAATGAAATTTGGGGCATAAAATGTCAAATGACTACTACAAAGCATCGCAAATAAATAATTCCATAAAATGCCCGAAATGTCAAATAAATGCTGTCCTTACATATTTGGAGTAACGGAAACGGAAATCTAACCAAAATCGGATTATCTGTGCAGATTAACAATAGCCGCAACAACTGAGCATACAACTGAGCATACAAGAATATGAAAAATTATCGCCTGACGCACTTAAAAAAGTAAATTAAATTTCAACTTTTATTTGATGTCTTCACGTACGAAACGAACCATAACCGTTAACGTAACTGCAAACGTTATTCCAAATCCAAATCCAAACGTAAAGGTAACCGTCAACGTAACGACTTCGTAGTTCAAATCAAACGCACACCAATCAAATTTTATTTTTTACTTCATCACTCCTATAAAATACGAGTTTTCTTAATTTAATTCGAATTAAGTCACAAAAAAATAAAAAAATTGAAAAAAAAAATAAAATTTGATAAAAGTTAAAAAAAAATTATAAAGTTCCCTCGTGGCATACAAATGAATAAATACAAAAGCACCTAAGCAGCGGGAAGTAAATATCACATCCCGCACAGCACGTTCATATACATATATGTGTGTGTGCGTACCTTAATTCAGATCTTCACTGAAATTCACTACCACATACATTCACACTTTTTTATTACACTTTTTTTCTGTTATTTATTTTTATTTAAAGTCGCACAGTTTTCCGACTGTTTTACTAAACGCTTTGAATGTGACCGAGAAACTGAATTTTTACACAGGAATAAGAATTATACTGCAGGAAAAATGTGAAAACTTTCGGAAAGCTTGTTCTTATATGCATGGAAACAATTTGGTAGTTGGAACAATTTGTTATGAACTAACGGAAACTTGTTGTTTCATGTGCAGCACATGTGTTTTGCTTTGAGAGGCTTTGAAAAATGAAAAACAAACAACGTATTTACAGTACAAAGAAAAGTTGCAAAAATGACACTTGTAGCGTGGCAGCAACATGTTGCTAACAGTTTAATATTTTCAAATATCTTAGCAGCATGCTGCAAAGAGTGAGCAGTGCAATTATAATAGATTATAATTATGAATATGTTATGCAATATATATTTATTTATGGTAAGTTTAAATTTGTTTTTTTTATATTCAAAATTCATTATCATTTTTATTAAAAATATTTTAAACAATATGTAAGGAATGTTGTTCAAAATGGTGTGTATACACACAATGTAAATGATTACTGTTTTGTTTTTAGAAAACATACAAAAATTTTGTATTGAATGATTTTTTATTAAAGAGTTATCAAACATTGTTTAATACGCAATTCTAACATATTTTTAAGCACGGAACACTTTTGCAATTAAAAACTCAACACGGAACAGTATATATTATAGATTCCTGAACACAGGAATTCCTCTTAAGATTCCTCTTAATATACAGTATATTAAGAGTATATTATTTTTTAAAAAGTATTTTTGTAATATTTTAATTAAATTTCCGGTTTTTATAAAGTAGACATTTATATAAATTATGAAACATTTTTTTCGTAAACTTTTTGTTAGTTTTACTTTTTATATTACAAATTAAAATTTTAATTATTTGTTTTTTTTTATAAACTAATATATTCAATAATTACTTTGAAATGCTCAAAATTCTTATAATTTAACATTTAATGTTTTTAATTTTAAGTAATAAAATTGAATTTGCAAGAAAATTTGTGGTAATGAATGGGTATTTTTGTGGTAAAGGCACTGCGGTAAATAATGCATCAATAAAACTGCTATAAACATTTGCCACTGTGCACAAGTAATGGCGATAGAAAAGCAGAAATAATTAAACAAAATTATGTGGAAAGATAAACAAAACAAGTACAAATGTGTTCGCCGTTTGCCATTCACTGTTTGCCGTTCACTGTTCGCCGTTCTCTGTTCATTATTTGTGGCTGAAAACTTATTTATTCTTTGCAAACACAAATACAAGCACAAGCGCAAACACAGAAAATATTTCATACATAATTTAC